ACACACACACACACACACACATACACACACAACTTCGGACTGCCAATGGGAAAACAAAACACAAAGCTTGTTTTATTTTGATTAAAAAGAACAAATGTTGCTGGGCACTGGTGGCTCCCGCCTGTCATCCCAGCCACACAGGAGGCTGAGATCTGAGGGGCCTGGTTCAAAGCCAGCCTGGCCAGGAAAGTCCATGAGACTCTGATCTCTAATAAATCACCAGGAAGCCTGAAGCAGCGCGGTGGCTCAAGTGATAGAGTGCTAGTTGTGAGCAAAAGACGCTCAGGGACAACGTGCAGGTCCTGAGTTCAAGCCCCAGGACTGGCACGCACACACGCACACACACACACGCACGCGCACACACACACACATACACACACCGTATGTATAATATAAAATATATTTTATAAGTACATCATATTATATGTACGTATGTGTATAACATATATTTTATAAATACATATTATATGCATATATGTATGTGCATATAACGTGTTATAAATACATTATATATTATCTATAGTATATATTGTGGGATGCATTGTATATAATTCATACGCACATTTGCATATGATTGTATCTCAGACACTATGGTGAGTTGTTTTTGGTTTTTGTTCTTTTTTTTTTCCTCCCCACTTTCTTAGGTTTGTGTCTTTTCTTTTTCTTTTTTCTGGGCTTATCCTGGGGCTTGAACTCAAAGCCTGGGCACTGTCTCTGGGTGCTTTTGTGCTCAAGGCCGGTGCTCTACTACTTGAGCCACAGCCCCACTTCTAGCTTTTTGCTGGTTCAGCGGAGATAAGAGCCTCACGGACTTTCCTGCCCAGGCTGGCTTTGAACTGCGATCCTCACATCTTAGCCTCCTGAGTAGCTAGGATTATAGGCATGAGCCACCAGGTCCACTCAGCTCTTCGGTTTATTTCAGTTGACGTGCAAACCATGCAGAATAAAAAGCAATAGGAGAGGGGGAGCGGCAGGCAGGGGGGTGGGGATTTCCACCATCTTGGGGTGTAAGTGGAGGCCACACTGGGCTTCACTGAGCTGTTCTAGAAGTTGGGTGGAAGTGGGAAATTCTTCTTCCCAAGCTGCAGGTGTGTGCTTCTGCCACACGGGGGCGATAGAGGCACTGTTGAATTCAGGCTGGGCCCTGAGCGCATGTCACTGAGTGGCTGGTGTGTGTGTGTGTGTGTGTGTGTGTGTGTGTGTGTGTGTGTGTGTGTAACAATCCCAGAAAGAGGAGGGAGCAGTGGCTCCCGCCTGTCTTCGCAGCTACTCAGGAGGCTGAGATCTGAGGGTTGTGGTTCAAAGCCAGCCCATGCAGGACAGTCTGTGAGACTTTTCTTTTTCTTCTTCTTTTTGTTAGTGGTGGTGCTTAAACTCTGAGCCTGGATTTTCAACTCTAGCCTGGCCATAAACATGGTTTGAGGTGCAAGCATACCTTCAACCCCATCAAAGGGCTTGAACTCGGCCTGGGCGCTGTCCCTCAGATCTTCAGCTCAAGGCTGGCGCTCTACCACTTGAGCCACAGCGCCACTTCCGGTTTTCTGGTGGTTCATTGGAGATCACAGTCTCATGGACTTTCCTGCCCTAGCTGGCTTTGAACTGCGACCCTCAGATCTTAGACTCCTGAGTAGCTGGGATGAGAGACGTGAGCCACCAGCGCCCAGTTTCTCTGTGAACCTCCTCTCCAATGAACCAGCAAAAATCTAGAAGTGGAACTGTGGCTCAAGTAGTAAAGCAACAGCCTTGAGCAAAAGGTTCAGGGATCACACCCAGGTCCTGAGTTCAGCACAAAACCTATTCTTTATTTGTG